AAGATATCAGAGATTTTTCAGATATTCTTCGTCTATCAAAGTGCCACCGTATTCGATCCAGATTCTCCCAAATCAATAGATTTACCAAATAATTTTAAGAAATATAGCTTCTTCTTTTCTTTTTTTGGTTTTTTTTTTTTTTTAATATTTTTCATGTAATTTCTTTCTCTCAACGTACGAGTAACTTAATTCTGGGGAATCTATTTTACTTGCATGTGCATGCACACATCACACCCTTCTCGATTTAATAACAAGTACCTAATTTTATGATATGTCTTGATGAACCTTTTTTTGGGTATAATTTAGGGTACCTATAAAAGCCTTGCCAATTTAAAAAAAAAAATACTCAAGCTAGAACCAAATAGAATCGTAATAGAAGAATAGAGATCAAGACAAGGATGAACATATGTTGTTCACAACTGATGAACATTAATTACAAGTGTGTAAATATTGTATACGTATATAAAATAGGTACATTCTGATTTGCACTAAACCCAGTTTCTAATGGCTAAACCACATTTAATCATATCTAATAAACCGGCCCTAAAGAGCGCTCTACAAATACAGGTGACTCGATTTTTCATCCTGGAGGCGAGTGTATGGAGTTGACTTGCTTCCAAGTTTGAAGATTTTTTTCCTTATGATGAGATCTATATCTCTCAAGACTCAAGAGTTGCTTTGAAGAGGTGCCAAGAGGAGCTTACTTTGTATCCTTGGGACACCCGACTTAAAAATCAAACTAGTCTAGGCGAGAGACACATTGCTCTATTTTGTTGCTTTGAAGAGGTGGCTTCTAGTCTCATCTCGAGGTTGCAATTGCAAAGGACACCACAAGGGTCAAAACCAAAATTTATTGAATGGGCTTCATAATAAGTGGGCCAAAGAGGCGGTAGGGGATTAATATCTGAATATTATATAATAGATAAATTAGAGGGTTCATCTCCTGCCATATATTGCTTCTCCTAATCTTTAAACCTTTGCGAGACGCGTATTTTTCCACCTTAAATTCACTTTGCTCCCATTCTTCCTACTCTCGCATAACTTTGGTAAGTTTTGTTCCTAATTTCAACTTTGGTAACTTTGATTATTCTTGTATTCGTTGGTTGAATTAGGTTTTGTATCTCTTGTTTGTATTATTACTTCATTGCTGTTTTTTTTTTCTTACAAAAATTCTTGTCTTATTTGATTGGTGTTGATCTGTTTAACTAGAGTGGGGATAAGTTTGTAAATATATATTCTATCGGAAGAAACTCAAAGGCATATCGAGAAATCCTAATTAATTTATGATCGATGATGATATATGAACGACTCCATCGTTGACTATATGTATTAGATGCACTTATAACTTGTTGCTTATTGAAATATCTTAGGTTCCCTTTTTTTCCATCAAATAATTTCCTATCTTTTTCTAAGAATCAGGGAGGTTATGGAGTTTCCGCCTCTGGAGTTTAGGCGTGCCCTAATTGTGATCGTCTGTCTATTGCTCATTCTCCTTTGCGCGCTATCGACTTTTGTAAAGGAACGTCGTGATCTCAAGAAATCATCGGACTGCATGTACGGCGGCAACCCCTGTCGGGATTATCATGAAGATCTCAAAGCACTAAAAAAAGCACTTGATAGGTCAAAGTGTAACCATATTACAACCATCTTTACCAGTTTTAAGGATGACCCATAGTTTTTTTCTCTATGTCTCATGATTTCGTTGATTGATTGGTGTTACCTGTTAATTTTTTTTTTTTTTAACATCTGCAAACTTTCATTAATGTTTTCTATATTTTGTTTAGTTTTTTTGGTTTTTAGTCTTCAGTTTTCTTCATTTTATGTGTATTTTAATTTACAGGTTAATAATATTTTTCATATGGAAATTTTGCGAAAAACAACTTTTTGTTAGTACTTATCTACAGCATTTGCCATTATAAAATTTTTAATATATATATAATGTTCGATTTGCAGAAGGTCATTTATGTCAAAAATATATTTGAGAATTCTACCGATTTTAATGCTTTCACAAAGCATAATCGAACATAATCTTAACAAGATATTTTTACCCAGATAAATATTTGATTATATATGCAGATCCAATAATTTTGCATCCCATATACCATAAGAGATACGATTTAATGTAAGTAAATGTAAAGCTACTAAATCTTGACTACAAAATAATCAATGTTTACCATCACAAAAAAAAAAAAAAAAAAAAACAAAAGAATCAATATTTTTGAAATATTTGCTCCAAATCTTAACAAGAATTCCGTTAACAAATCGTCTTGTTAAGAAAAATATTATAACCCAATTTTTTTCCAATCATTCATGTAAATACAACCATTTATGTATTGCTTATATATTAGATGAGGTACATCTCTGCTTTTCAATTTCATATTTCTCAGTTCCAATTGATATTTCAAATTACCATAGAGTATCTCAGAAGGTCGAAAGGGTTTGTTTATGTTTCTGATGTGGAACACTGATTTTTTCATAATAATCAATATTTTGGAAATCTTTGCTCCAAATCTTAACAAGAAGTTTTCAACTCAAATTTTTCCAACCATTCATCTACTTAGAACCATTTATGTATTGCTTCTTCTCTTCTTGCGCTATCACTAATATTGGCATTGCTTCTCTACAAACCGGCTTCTCTTTATATATTAGATGAGGTACATCTCTGCTTTTCAATTTCATATTTCTCAGTTCCCACTTGATGTTTCAAATTACCGTAGAAGATTAGAAGATCTAAAGGTTTGTTTAGGTTTCTGATGTGGAACACTGATTTTCAGTAACAATCAGTGAGTGAAAAGAGAAATACTCATGATCAATTTATTCCAAAACCTATTTATCACTATGCTGCATATCCCATTCAGATTTGTTTTTGTGTATGCATTGTTTATATTTAGGTCGAAACCTAACATTTTAAGCCTTTAGCTTTGGGTTTTCGTGAAGAGATTCAGTTTAAGGTTGATGTTAGTGCAGATCACTTCTCCAGAGATAGTGATGGCCTAATGTCTATGGGCAATAAAGCCGGTTTCGTGTGGTTCGGTTCTTTTTGTTTGTATGATTTGTATATATCAATATATTCCGTGTTGCTAGAAATGTTTTTTTTATAGATGATCTACCAAAACCACATCATAACGTTCAAAATGATGAAATACCAAGAAATCATAAAATTGTTTCAAATGGTGAATAATAAACTACTAGTTCATACAGATTATTTTGTGGATTCCAAACGCTGAAACCAAGACTCAAATTAAAAAGCTTCGATCATTTCTTAAAGGTTTTGTTTACGGATTTCGTATCGATATTATTCAAAAAAAAACTTATATTGTAAAAGTTTGTTTACGGTTTCGTCAATGATCTACCAATAGAGTGCTTGCATGCGCTACTAATACAAAATTAGGCTAAAGAAGTCAACAAAATGCAGTGATACCAAGCATAATTAATTTTCTGTTGAGATGCAACAATAACTTGCGTAGAATGTACAATTAATTAGTCGTTCTTAGTAACATACATTAGTTTAATAGTATGTAAAAAGATTCGGAATTCAAATGATCACAATGCATTTTGTCATGTGATATTTATGTTTCAACTGCCACAATTTTAATAACGACCAACAGAAAGATACATTTGATCTAATTTGTTTCAGTTTATTTTTAAAGAAAATTGTTCAACTTCTAGCATGAATCACGAAAAGGTTGATAGACGATATTTTATTACATTGGTTGGAGAAGAAATGTTTTATAAAGAACTTAGAAAACAGAGAATCATTTTGGTTATCGAATTTATAAAATGTGAGAGGTCAAAATATAGATGAAAATATTATTAAATTAAAGTAGGAGTAAGCGGTAGTTGACATTTAATTCTAGTTTACAAAGCAAAGATTTATAACTAATAGGACTGCAAATTCCCAAAAATAACTAAGAAAACAAAAAATCACATGGAAAAAGATTTGTGAAATCTTTTGGCGGTGCACTAGAAAAGCAGGAACATGACTGTCTTCTGGTGTAAAATACTACGTGAACCACCATTACATTTAATTTTATTTAAGTTTTATCCATTCAAGAGATTAGACAATTAATTTAATTGTCAACGCTTAATTCATTTGTAATTTGGTTAGTAAGCCAACGGTCGATTCCATGCAATCGCATTCGATTTGACTTCCACTCTAATTGAAATTTTTATTCAAATCAAATCATTGACAAGTAATCTTATGTCAAACCGCCCTTTCTAACATCTTATTAATTTATTGAAGCTATACTTTAATCCCAAGAAACGCCTCTTCGAGTGTGGATGTTATTCTAATAATATATTATTCATACTACAAAATCAATAATTAATCTATTCCTGCTGATTCTTAATATTTGTAGTATATCATGTATATCTTTGATTGTTAACTTATCATTAATAGTAATAAAATATTTTCTCGTCAAGATGATTTTCTTTTTGGTCATTACGCAGATAGATATGTTAGTGTCGAGTATGTTTACCACCAATTCAATTATTATTAAACTATACTCCTATTATTTTACCGCTTTAAACTGTAAAAAATGTTTGATTTTGCACATGTTGGAGACTAGATCCTGTACGATCGGATATATTCCGGTTAAAAAAGTAGAAGAAAACATTCATGAATTGGAGTATGATTTTTTTGGGTGAATCTTGTGACACTATAAAGGTCAAGTTTAAAAGCTTGAGCTATTAGTTGTCATTTATTACGGAAAGTAATGCTAGACCATTACTTCAATGAAAAGTTAAATGAAAAAAGATTAAACAGTTGACAAACAAGTAAGTAGCGTGTACAATTCCAGTGGAATATGATCAAGTTGCAAAATAAAAATGTAAGAGCAACTATATTTTGGAAACACTAAATGAGGAAATTTATTGAGAGAGGATATCATCTTGAGGTTTGAGAGATTAAGATTTGGGTAGGCTAAGAAAATCCCAGAAGACATGGAAAACTCTCGTGCTTCGATACTTCATCAGTCCTAACCTTATTATATTTCAAAAAACTTCTAAAAACATTAACTATCATAATATTCCATAAATAGGTCATATATTTCTACATATAATAATTGATGTCACAACGAAAAAAAGTCAAGCTCGTTGACCTTTTGGTAGCCTATATAAACATATCATAGACGCAACAGAGAGTGCGTGGAAAGAAAAAAAAAACTCATCAAGAGAAAAGAAAGAGATATAGAGAGATGAGGAGTGACGTGGCACGTCTCAGGTGTGGGAAGACGATTCCATTGCTTGGAATGGGAACTTATTGTCCTCAAAAAGATCGAGAGACCACCATCTCAGCCGTCCATCAAGCTATCAAGGTTCATTTTCATGAATTTACTTAATCAAATGATCTTATGATATAATATATTTATCACTTCTATACCATTCCCATAATAATCTTATAAGTTTTTCATTGGAATGGAAGCAGATAGGGTATAGACATTTTGACACAGCAAAGATATATGGATCAGAAGAAGCTCTTGGAACTGCATTGGGACAAGCTATCTCCTATGGGACTGTCCAAAGAGATGATCTCTTTGTCACTTCCAAGTTATGGTCTAGTGATCACCATGACCCTATCTCTGCCCTCATACAAACTCTCAAGTAAGCTTCTCTCCACAAACATTCACTTACGATATGAAAATCGAGGGATTGATCTCATGATCACATTGTTTATGGCTTATAGGACAATGGGCCTAGAGTATCTAGACAACTACTTGGTGCATTGGCCAATAAAGCTAAAGCCAGGAGTGAATGAGCCTATACCAAAGGAAGATGAGTTTGAGAAAGATTTGGGGATTGAAGAAACTTGGCAAGGAATGGAGAGATGCTTGGAGATGGGTTTGTGTAAATCTATTGGTGTTAGCAACTTCTCTTCTAAGAAGATCTTTGATCTCCTCGATTTCGCTTCCGTCTCGCCGTCGGTTAACCAGGTTTGCATTCAACATTACCACCAAGATTTCTTGTTGAGGAAATTCAAGAAACTAAATATTTGCATATTTACGTATAGGTGGAGATGCATCCATTGTGGAGACAAAGAAAGTTAAGGAAAGTGTGTGAAGAGAACAATATCCATATAAGTGGATATTCCCCACTTGGTGGGCCAGGGAATTGTTGGGGATCAACGGCTGTGATTGAACATCCTGTTATCAAATCCATTGCTCTCAAGCATAATGCAACTCCTGCTCAGGTAACTCCAGGACTGAGTTCCTTCCTCTTTTGTTCATGAAGAGACTTAATTGACTTATAACCAATAACTTATTTATATCTAGGTGGCACTAAGATGGGGAATGTCAAAAGGAGCAAGTGTGATAGTGAAGAGTTTTAATGGAGCAAGAATGAGAGAAAACAAGAGAGCCTTAGAGATTAAATTGGATGATCAAGACTTATCACTCATTGACCATTTGGAGGAATGGAAGATCATGAGAGGAGAGTTCCTTGTTAATCAAACCACAAGTCCTTACAAATCCATCCAACAACTTTGGGATAATGAAATTTAGTTGATTAGGGTTTCACATCATTTACTTCAAAATGTAATTTCATCTTCACATTCTCTTTGCTTATATGATCTTTGCAAATTTGGGTATATAAAGTCATTACAACATGTATGAATCACAGGATCAAAACCATTGTCGCCGGCAAGACTGTTATCCAACGTAACAAAAACAATTTTTAATTAGATAAATCGGTACCGGCTCAACTTGGTCAAATTAACTTAGCTATACTTAGTTATGTATAGTTGGTCCGGTTACGCTAAACCAAAATCTGAGATTATCTGGGCTACGTGTGGATAAAAATTATCTGGGCTACGTGTGCAAAGCCCACTAAAAGAGAGAGACGGATTGTTTTGTTATAACTTTTAACTCATTCCAAAGTCCCACATCGCTAACAACATAAGAGTTCAAGACAAGCGAAGTAGTATAAATAATGATGCCACTGAATCGAGCAATTCATACCTTTCTCGGCCTTTTGGCTAAGATCAAGTGTAGTATCTGTTCTTATCAGTTTAATATCTGATATGTGGGCCATCGGTCCACACGATATTAACTCTATTTTTTAAGGGAGAGTGCCCATTAAGATAGCTTGCTATCTGGGCTTTCGCGAGTCGCCTATGCGTTGCACTACTGCATGGGCCTGGCTCATCCCGCCAATAACAGTTAGAATTATTACTATTTAAATCTGCTTTGGGCCCAAATAATGAAATCGGGTGGATGAACCGATCGGTTTAACTGATAAACCTGTAGGAAATCTCATACTCGTTGCACATGGTTTCGAGAGAATTCAATTAAAAATGGGCCTTAGGCTATGGGCCTCAGCAAAGTCTGCTTCCTTTGAACTTGAGATGCCTTCATGAAACTGATCATGAATTTGTGTAAATAAATATGAGTAGTGAGTTTGAGTTGAATGCTTTTAACATATGTTTTGAAAGAATTAAACCAAAAAAAAAAAAAAATTATTGTTTTAAAAGAAGCAGAATATTTGAATCACAATCAACTTTAATATGGATATGAAGATTCATATACCTCTGCGAGTTACTAATTAGGTGAACTAAATGTTGATGAATGTAGGATGTATTATGGATAATATTATCCCACATTGGAAAGGATAAGGGATCTTGACTAGTATATAAGATATATGGGCCACTCCACTCATTGCCAATTGGTTTTGAGTTGGAAGCCCATATTCTAATATGGTATCAGAGCCCGATCCGTACATGTCCAAATCCAATCCACCATCGGCCCGGCCCAATAGTTGGTCCGCCGATCCATGCCCGAGCATACCGAGATCAATGGCTAGAGCCATCATCTCGAGGGGGCGTATTAAGGATAATATTATCCCACATTGGAAAGGACAAGGGATCTTGACTAGTATATAAGATATATGGGCCACTCCACTCATTGCCAATTGGTTTTAAGTTGGAAGCCCATATTCTAATAGGATGAAATATTCCTTGCCAATTGGTTTTAAGTTGGAAGCCCATATTCTAATAGGATGAAACATTCCCTGACTCAGACAGAACATTTTCGTAGAAATAGCAGTCCAGAAAAAATTAACTCGTCAATGTTTTCTTCTCCTCTGTTGCAGTCGTCTCTTTCTTTTCAATAATTTTATTCAACTTCTTCAAGCACACTTAGAGGCATTCGTATTATAGAAATATGCCATTGAAAGAAAAGTCTGATGTTGCCTTTAAGCATGTGTAACTGGAGCGTTACGACTTGATTCTTTCGACTCTTTTGAGATTTGTATGTTGATATCCACAGCTCAATGGTAATATGAAAGTGGCTGTTATTTCTTTGCACTTTGATGATTCTTCCTCTGGCATAAAAGATGAAAATAGTGGCTCTATTTTGCTGTTAAAAACAATTTTAAGAACGAATTACTTAATTTATGGCCAAAAGTTAAAACACACAAAATAGTTGTCTCTTTTTCGGTTTTTACACGGAGTCGTCCGGTCATCTTTAAAGGCGAAGATGGATTACTTACACGTGTCATATCGTAGAGTTTACTCACCCAAAGTTTCATTTTCATTCACTTTCTAAGGTCATCTGCAACGCCGGACCACTCCCATGTTCTTAGCAGTTTTTTAATCCAAAAAAATGGGCTAATGGACTTAAGATCAGGAACTGGACTCTAGTCCTGGATCTGTTCTTGTGGGTGTTGCGGGGTGACGTGTCATTTCGGGATTGGTTGGAAAAATTAGGAAAGGAAACAACAGATTCATATTTTGAGATTTTTTTTTGTCCTTTTGTCAGTTAATAAAAAGAGTGTTGTTCGTTAAAGATTAATAAATGACTTTGTATTTTTCTTTCTATTATAGTAACTTTATTTCAAAAAGAGAAATATAGTATTTGTTTCACCGCTTATCTTTACATTCTAGGAAACTTCCTTTTTTTTTATTTGTTCATAAAATGACTAATTTTTTTTATCATTATTCACAAGTTTACTTTTTTCGGTTTAAGTCCGGTTCTTTGGTATTGTATTTTGAATTTTAGTATAAAAAAAATTGGGAAAGGAAACAACAGATTCGATTTAATTTTTTTTGGTTCATTTTTTTTTCTTAAATATTTGGTATTATATTTTGAATTTTAGTATAAGTTTTTTAAGTTTGCAACTTAAATGTAATTTTTATAAGTTTTTATAAATGTAATATGTTTAAAAAGTTTTTGATTATTATATTATTAAATCTTATGATCTTAAACATGTTCTCCCAATAACCAACTTTTTAACAAAAGATCTAAATTACTGATCTTACATTATTTTAACAATATTTTTACTCTAAAAACACCCAAATGTGATTCCCCATTGAGGATGCCCTAAGTGTACTTTGCCTTTTTCAACTTTGTCTACTTTTCTTCCAATTTCATGTCACTTTTTTTTTTTTAATAATAAATCAATACCTATTTCTCTATTTATGATGTGTTTTGTGTCAAACACACTCGAGTTTTTGTTGTTTTGCAGGAATTGTTTAAAGACACAAATTCAGTGACACTGAGATATCTGTATTACCAAGAAAAATGGTCTAACGTGGTTAAAAAGCTGTCTGATTCAAATCGGCTCTAGAAGGCTACATTAAAACTATTGGGTTAAAAGTACTCTTCTTCTTATTAAATGCAAAATAGTGAAATAAATGGTAAAGAATATTTTGAATTATAGTGGAGGGTTAACTACGAGTTAAAAGTGATCGACGGTAAATACTGTTCATAGACCATCTCCAATGTAAAGTTTTATATTTTTGCTCTAAAATAGAGTAACTCTATAATGGAATAGAATTCTCTCCAATGTGTTACTCTATTCTTTGCTCTAAAATAGAAGTCGTGTAAAAAATAGAGGAAAATTATAGAGTTGCTCTATATATAGAGCAATCTTCACTTTTACTCTATTTTAGAGTAGAATATAGAGTAGAGTTGGAGAGAATTTTACTCTATATTAAAATTTAGAGGAAAAAAATAGAGTGGGGTTAGAAATGCTCATATATGCATTCTTATTCTATTCCATACCATATGTAGAGGACAGAAAAGAACAATATTGAATTAACAATTAGAGAATTCATGGTCATCTACTAAGAAGTTCCAAATTTATGATACTTAATATTTTTGGGTCGCAAAGATAATACTATACTGTATAAAGGAAAAAAGCTACGTGTCCCTGCTCTTCACTTTCAGCAATGAAAAATACTCTGTCCCACATTATTAAGAATTTAAAAGGATGGAATAAAAAATGGTTCAGGATAATTACATTTGTGGCTACTATCTAAGTTAAGCTGTCCAAAATATCTAAGTTAAGCTATCAGACACACAGACCAAAGTTCATAAAATGATAAAAATAAATGAATTTCGGAACACAACGTGATCCATCTTTTTCAGCATCACGTTGTTACGTATTCCAGAACTCCATCCACTCGATTTGGAGTGAACGGAACAGAAGGAGGCACGAGGAACAACCCTTACCGTCGGAACTACTCGTGAAAATGATAGATAAGAATATGCGAAATCGCTTGAGCACACTCAAAGGTGGCTGTTTGAAATCTGCAGGTGGAATCTAAGCATGGTTTGAATCAAGGCAATAGAGGTGGAATCCAAACATGGTTTGAATCAAGGCAATAGAAAACAGATAGTAGCTCTATTTATAAATGTTTCAGAAAAGTTAGCATTTCATATGTAAAAACGTTTATTTTCTTTTGAATATAATTTAACATTAAATTCAAAAAAAAACAAGAAAAATAAAAATAAGTAAACAATTGATTATATTCAGATTTAGACTGTCTCGACGAGTGAAGGGGCGGTCTACTTTTTCAATATTGTTATTCGTTTTAATCTTAAAAAATCTTAAACCAGGTTGAGAAATATTCGATAAAGTACATTAGTTTGATATGGTTGGTCAACAAATTATCCAAAGATGCTTATGTACTTTACCAAAAAAAAACATAATACGAAAATGATTTAAATTACAACACTCCACTAAAAGGGACTTTAGTTGCAGAGAAAGTCGCAGAAAATAAAGTAAAGAGGTTAATTAACGATAATTTGAAAAATTCTGGCAAAATTTGATAACCCTAATATTCATTAAAGTTTTTTTTTTTGGTTACTGTTTGCTTTGTTTTCCATATTCAACATTATCATGTTTTGTGCTGTTTTATCGTGCCCACCCGCACCAGAATACAACTGTTAGTTATCGCATAAAAGAGGTCAAATTCAAGAAACTTTTACATTATCTTATCTTACTTTACTTATCCACTCGTGTTTAAAGTAAATAAGATGTCTATCTCAAATACTCACAACAGTTCTTTTTACTCTAAATACCCTAAAGTAACGGTTAAAACGAACTTTTCTTTCATCGTTATTTAATCTTACATCAAAAATCAAACATGAAAGACTAAAAAGTGTATGGTACAAAAGCTATAATTAAGCTTTATGTAAGCCACGACGAAAGAAGAAAAAGACAGATCTTGATTTATCTAACTCAATCTTCCACCACATCTATACATACATACACGTATATATCATATGTATACAATCACATCTGCTCATGAAAATTGATTGATCTTGATAACGCAGCAGGGTTTGCACAAAGAACAAGAGAAGTCTCTGTTTCTTCTTTGTTATTAATCTTAACCTCTTTCTTCGAAGCAAACCCATTGAACATAACTTCGTTCTTGATACCAAGTGTTGTCCATATAGAACTCTTTGCAGCTTCATTAGGATCATCAATTCTTAAAGTCTTAGGAACCAATACAGATACGTTCCTCTGTTTTTGCTTCACCGTTTCGTCTTCGTCCCTCGAATGCTTACCAAGAGTAGAAGTAGGACTTGAATTAACCGGAGAAGACAACATTGGAATGTTCCAGTAAGGGTAAACCGGGTAAAACGCAGGATTCCACGTGTACGGCCACGAAACCCCTGGAAAGCAGTTCGACGTGTTGTTATTTGAGCGCTCGTCATTGTTCTCTATCCTAGCCATTAGCTTTGGATTACCGAACCTATTACTCGAGACCTTTTGATCATCTCCGAGGCTGAAACTAAGGACCGGACCTTTTGTTTCGGAGATAGTCACGTGGCGGTAATGTGAAGTTGATGACGATGAGTTGTTCTTGTTCTTGCGTCGTCCTGCTCCGATGGGAACACTTCTCATGGTCCCACCAGAGGTCCAATATCTCTGACAGGCTTTACAAAAATGGCGAGGTTGGTTTACGTTGTAGTTGTTGTAGTAACAGAATTTTGTCTCCATGCTGTTGCATCTTGGACATGGAAGAATCTTGGTTGGTTTCTTTAGGGTTTTGTCTTTGTCCGATTGATCAGTTAACGTCTCGTTTTGGTTCTGATGCAAGACAATGAAATCGGATTATTAGGGACGGATGAATAAAGAAAGAATAATATTTTTGAACCATGTTAAAAAGAAATGAATTTAAATTTTATATTATCATGTTTATGATTCTCAAGAAGGTTCTAGATAAAATATTGGTGGAGGAAAAAGTCTTTTGCTTTAGTAGAAGTCTAAATTCTCTCTCACCTTTATTGAATTTTGAGTGCACTAAAAAGCAATCTTTTTTTTTTTACTAAAATATGATTATTTTATGGAGAAACGAATTTGCTTTTTCGTTTCATGAAAAGTCAACAGACCAAATTGCAACCTCTGGTTCACCAAAACTCAGAACAGATAACAGTGTAGAGTTTTAAACAGAGGTCGGTTTTATTGTATATGCTTAAGACATCTCAAAAAAGTTTACCAATTCATCAAACTATGATTAGAAAAGGATACCAACAAAAACAGTTGAGCTTTTGCCTTTAATGGACAAATGAACAAAAACTCAAAAAACCACTTTTTTTTTTCTTTGGGGTAAAAGATTAAATTAAAAAAAAAAAACCACTTTTCAAAACACCAAAACTAATTTTCTCGATACTTGTCTCTAACACAAACAGAATCAGTACCTTTTCTTCTTCTTCTTCATCAGTAGTAACCTCTAAAACAGTCGGGAAAGGAATTTTCATACCAAAGAGCTTAATTTTCCTCAGATGTGCTCTTTTTTCTCGTAAGTTTCTAACTCTCTCTGTCTTTCTTTCTTTCTCTTCAGCTTTTTTTGTTTGTTTCTCTTCGAAGATGTTTTTTTGGGGTTTGGGTATATTGGAAGAATTTTTTTGGTTTGGAAATTTTGAGATTTGGGATTTTGATACGTTTTAAAAAGTGAAGTGGATGCCAGGTCAGCATTTTGGTTTGATTCTCGACCACAAGTTTATGTGGCCTCCGATATTTTATTTTTCTCCCAAACCCCATTAAAACCATAGCATATAATCTTTTGTTATTTTTTAAAAAACCTTTATCAAAACTATTCGAAGAATATAATTTTTTTTTTGTTTAAGATTTTCACTAAACTTTCTGTTAAACAAACAGATCAAAAAGCTCTTAGACCATCATTAACAAGAGGTTCTTAACTTTATCTCTTAACATTGTTTAATATTAAAATTTTGGTTTTTGTAAGTTAAGAGTCAAATCTTAGCTCTTAACACTCCCAAAAGCTCTTAGCTAAGAGTCAAATCTTAGCATTTTAATTTGTTTTGATTTATTTTTCAATGTTTAATTCTAAGATAAAAAAGTTAAGAACCATATAAGAAACCACCAATAATGGTGCTCTTAGACCACCATTAACAAGGGTATCTTAAAGTGTTCTTAAATAAGAAATGTGGCTTAGCTAAGACCCAAAACTAAGAAAAGTGGCTTAGCTAAGATCCAAAACTAAGAGTTCTTAACTTTAATACTTCTAAGAACCATTTTTAAGATACCATTGTTAATCATGCTCTTAGGCACTTAGAAATGTTGAGTATCTTAGACAAATTTTAGGATTAAAGTTGATTAAAAATAATCAAACTAACATCTTAAAGCTAAGATTTGTATCTAAGTTAAGATGTTTTTCTTAATTTAAGATATTGCAAGGTGTCACATTTTGATTGGTTAAAAAAAAAAAACAAAAGAATGACACATCCAATTATGAAACGACTATTTCGCAGAAAATCCAACTTTTCCTTCTAATCTATTTAGAGCATCCACAATGGGGCTTCTTACGTGGGGCTCTACAAACTTTATGGATCAAAAATAAATCAAAATGAGCTATTTATTGAAGAACCAGAGTCTGTATTAAGAAGCTAAAGAGCCCCATAAGAGCTGGTGTCCTGTCATTTTTCAAAATCAATATTAAATAATTCATAAGAGCCCTAAATTAATACCCCATGGTTGGAGATGGTCTTAGACGCCGATTTGGTCGAGCATATATGAACAAAATATTCCATAAATTAAGTTTAAAATATTTGTGTTTTATGTTATTTATGTTATAAATTGTATCTCATGTATGTTTTAATTTTTTTAATTTGCAACAATTATTAAGTTTTCTATAATTATAAATTTTATTTTTATATTAATATTTTTTTTTCTAAGAACCACATGTTAAGAGTCTACCATTAATCATACAAAAATCTTAACACAAAAAAAACTATCTCTTAACTATCACTTTTACAAATATACTCATTACTTAAATATTGCTAAGAAGTATTTCTAAGATACTACCAATAATCGTGTTCTTATATACTTGGAACAAATGCATATTAAGTTTGAACAAACAAACGAAGTGCGCGCTACGAGGATGCAATCAAGTTTTTAGAAATAGTGATTAATAAAAACGCTTTATTCTATACTGATATAAGATTTATAACATATCTTAAACAATTATGTACCTATTGGTTTGAATTGGAAAAAAAAAAAAAAACAATCATGTAAACTGTTTACAAACTTTTGGGTAGGTAAATGTCAGCATCGCGGGGATGGCTTTGTTGCAGCTCACACGAGAGCTGTCTTGTTACGTGCAATTTCTTAATTGGTTGGTGCAAGGATAAAATCCTTCATTTGAAAACGATCCACAATTTTTGGCATGGAGAAAAATATACCCTTCTTTTGTTAGTTGGTAGATTTGATCACAGATAATTTGAAGCCACGAACCTTTGTTTTTTAAGTAGGAATACAAATGCAACGAGGATTTAAACATTTTCGAATCATTTGGTTATTCAATCCAAATTTCTACACTTACTGAACAATATATATATATAGACATGTACGTCTTTATGTAATATCATCCAAAAAAATTGTCAATAATATTCTTTTGCAAAACTATATATATATATATATATATATATATATATATATTGGCTCTAGCATAGCCAAATCAATTATCATTAAAAAAAAAAGTCAAATAAAAAGTCAATTCACAACCATATTCTAACATGTAGAATTTTCATTAGTGAAGTGTGAACGGTAAAAGATATGAAGTGTCACTCTCTCGTTGGCTGTTATTAAAAAGTTCTTTTGAAGTCTCTGCCACATTTTTATGATTACGGAACTCTTTACCAGAGAGAGAGATTTGAGGGTCTAAATCAAACTCTGCCTTTTCCCACGTCAGCTTCTACGGGTCCCTTATTCACCTGCACACTTTCGTCAGATCATAGATTTTACAAACTACAGTAATTGCATGCACTATATTAAGTTAGAAGCGTCCTAAATCTAAGAAGGCTTACCAAAAAAAGAATTTTCGTTTCTTTCAAAGACAGTTTGTGTGCGTCTGTGTGTATGTGATATTTTAGGATGATCATATTTTACAAGCTGTTTCTTTAGTTTGAGCCTTGTCTTTCTCTTACTCTAGATTATTGGTTTAAAACAGATAAACAAAATCAAACTTTAATCTAGCATTAGATTGGTTTGATATGCTTTCAGAATTTGATCAGTTCTGAGTAAATCTATTGAAATATGTCAGATTTTAAATCTATTGAAGCTGTCTTGTGTAACCTCTGAAGTTTTGAAGATAGAGACGAGATCATTCTTCCTTTTCAGCAATAATAGGTCATATAAACTGACAAAATACAGTAGCATTCGAGAAGATCACAACTTTTAAGTTTTCAACAACAAAAACTAAAATCTGAAGTTTTCAAAATTTTCTTTTGAAATAAGGTATCAAGTGTCAGCAAATTCATCTTCTGAATCTCCCGCCTCTACCACCACCACGGCCACCTCTTCTTCCACCACCGCCACCACGACCACCACCGCCATGTCCATTGCCATTAGCTCCAGGACTCTTCATGTTTTCAGGCAATGGAAGGATGTGATCAACACACTTCCTGAAGCTGAAATCGTCTGCAGTGTCGTCTTCCCTAACCAGAAAGAAGCATCGGCTTTTCCACATTGGGTGGGTTCTGACTTGGAAGGTTTTGATTCCTCCTCCAATCTTCTTTTCAGGCTCAGAGTGGCCCTTCTTGATCAGATCTAGCAACACCATGTGCTCATACTGAAATGTACAATCGAGAACCAAGTTCAGTGCAACGAGTTAGTTGGAAGCTCGAAAGAAACTGCAACAACTGTCATATATTATGATGACTATTATGATGACTATGCAATGTTTTATCTTTTATGCTTGTGCCCTCAAAATTTGATATAGTTTCATTCTTCCAACCACTAAATGACATCAAGACCTGAGAAAAGTTTCTAATTCAAACACAATCCACAATCATATAATCAATAAGAACACGATACATTTGCCAAGAACTTTTGAGTAGTAAACTAGTAATAGGGAACCCAATTCACAATCTGTTCCGACTTAACAATGAAAGATAATTTCGTACATATTCCTCGATTAATCCTCTCCCTAAACACATTGCATAATCAAATATCTACAATCATTGTAGACAATCAATAATTTGAGACACAAAAAAAGTTCTTAACTCCAAACACTAAACCCAAAATCAAATTATATAACAAATAAGACCTTGGCAAAGAATTTAGAGCAGTAGTCAAATTAACAGATGCAAAGGCGAACCAAATTCTCAATTTGTCTCAGTTTTACTACAAAGCACGATCATCATCAGATTCATTGATAAAACCTCTTCCTAAACACATCACAGAACTTAATAACCACAATCAGAGCTCTCAGATCAACCCATATAAATCTCGAGCAAAGGAATATACTTTTAAAGATTCAAACTTTACAATTAAAAAAAGCCAAAAGAAAAATAAGAAGAGTAACCCAAATATGTCTTACCTTATTAACATCGAGATCAGTTGGCCAAAAGTGCAAAAACTTGACAAAGTAATCGAACATCGCCACAGAGGTAACAAACTCCTTCGGACCAAGTTTAACCGGACCTGACTTCTCTTCCTCTGCCACCTTCTGCTTCTTCGATTCACCTCCGTTCTCTTCTTCCTCTGTCTCCTCTCTCTCACGTTTCTCATCGCCGGTCTCGGCTTTGGGGGCCACGCCTTCGACCTCCATGTCAACTTTCTGGTCTGGGTTCACTTGAGCTGACACGGAATCGAGGATCTCTTGTTGCTCCGCCATTGATAAACTAGTCAAGCTTTCGCCTTGTTCCTCCTCTTTCTCCTTGCACGATTTCTAGGGTTTAAGCTTTAGGGCGAGTGACTCTTACTGAAATCGGCTAAGCGGTATTTTTATATATGGTCTCGGTTTTCCGATTGAACCGAACCGGTTCGGTCCATTGAGTTTTTTGGCTCGACGGCATACATAAAAACCGGAATTTTCACTGTAGTAACATGTTTGTCATTGACATGTCCACTTTTTTTTTTTTACGAATCTTAATACTTTCATTTTAATGTCTACAAATTACTTTCACTGTTTTATAAAATTTGGATTATTAAAATCATAGAAGAAAAACTCAAATTTTGTTATTATTATAATTTACAAAATAAATGATATTATAATTTTTTTGATTTACAAAATAAATATATATTAACCATTAGACCACCATAGTTTAATTAAATATATATTCAATGTTATTAAAAAATACTCTAATTTATATACAGATTTAAAAAAGCGACAAGAATAATTTTGGAATCGCAAAAGACATACTTCGTATATTTTAGGGTAAACGATCTGTGTCCCCCTCGGAAGTTTCATATAGCACCAGAACTACACAGAATTCGAACCTCGATTTCGGTCTACATAAATAGGAAGTTCCAGTCCACTTTCCCCCTAATTTGAAAGATCGAAACGTGGTTCCACACGGTTGTTGGTTTTATCGGTTTATGACCTAAACCTGATACCAAACCACTAAATCATACCAAACCGAAGTAAAACCGGTCAAAAAACGG